AAAAACCCCAAATCAAGCACTAATCTACAAAATTCCGATGTGAAATTGACGATCGAGATCTGAGTGTTTACCTGATAACAAGTAACAGTCTGGAAACAACGAAGCTCTTGGCTGAAATCAGGTAATCCGATTGTGTGATGAAGAATGCGATTAGTACCGAAATCGTTAGAGTTTGGACCTCCGACGATACAGATAACCGGAAGATTCTCGCTATACGCACCAGCGATTGCGTTTAAAACGCTTAAACCACCGACGGTGAATGTCACGACGCAAGCACCGACTCCACGAGATCTAGCGTAACCATCGGCGGCGTAACCGGCGTTAAGCTCGTTACAGCAACCGATGTTTTTGAGCTCTGGCTCGGCGATGAGATGGTCGAGGAGAGTTAGGTTGAAATCTCCGGGAACGGAGAAGACATCGGTGACTCCGGCTTGGACGAGACGACGAGCTAAGTGACGACCGAGAGTGGCTTCGGATGAACCGACGGAGATTGCGGTGGCGGGAAAAGTGTCGTGGATTGTTGCGACGGTGCCGTTTGGTGGACTTCCGACGTCGCCATTTGTGGGTTTACACGCGTCGATGGATCCTATTTTGGTGTCCATTGGAAGAAAAAAAGAAAGTTTATTGGGAAATTATTAGTAGAAACTTTTTGTTTTGGATGATTAGTAATGAGATTATGCAATGAGAAGAGGGATTTATATAGTTGTGGAATAGAGAAGAGGAGGTTTCGGTTGTTTAATTCCTTGGGCAAAAAGCATATAAATATCTTACTGTGATATTTTGATAAAAAAAATTAAATTAAATGATATACTGTATGCTCCACTGGTGTCATTAATTAATTATTTATAGAATTCGCTACTAACAGAGGACATGTTATGCCGTGATTAACAAAAAAAAATAAGTTTTGGTAGTAAAAATATCACGAAATTTTGATTCACTGTCAAATTTTGAGATTCAGATTTTTTAAGAGTTAAATTCTTACAATAAATGACTGGAAAATATGATTAAAAAGTAAAATTAAATAAAACATGGGAAATTGGCAAAAATAAGACAAAAAAAAAAAATTATAATCTAAAAACTAACCAAAACTCACATATCCAATGGTCATGATTTTGCCACATACTCC